TAAAAATATAAGTCTACTACTTAAGGAAATAATTACTACTACTAGAAATTAAGGAAAAGTATTGCGAAAATAATAAATTTGTTGAGAAAAATGGAAAAGGAATTGACAAATATCCACAACAGATTATTAAAGATTATATTTTTCTATCAGTAGGTTGTGGAGTTTCCACTATTTTTTAAAAATAGTCAAGTGGAAAATACATTTTTAAAAAGTTGAAGATGCTTTTTAAAAATATAAACAACTACTTACTTTTAATGAAAATCAGGAATTTATAATGGTTATGAGGCGTAGGTAAATTTTTTTTTTTTTTGCACTTACATATATCTATCCGCACCTGTCAATTATGATCGACAATCAGCAGATGTCCTGGCGTAGTAATGAGAGAATAAAAAAATAAATAAAAAGGCTTTATAGGCATGAGGAATAGCAATACCCAGCGGTATTCCTTCCATGGCTTTTATTTATTAAAACATTATTTCAGCAGATCCCTCATCCAGACCCTTTTTAGTCGTCTTCTGGAGTTCTTGGGCATACTAGTTGTGAACATTTCTTTTACCAGCTGGTTGGAGTGCCCGTTTAACATGTTATGAAATCGTTTGTAGTACGTTCATATGTGTTCGTTGACTGTCGGAACGTATAAGTCGGTGTGTAAACGTACCATGGTGCTTGAGTGATTAGTCATAGTATCTTAGACTGAAAAGTTTGAAGTTTTTTTATGTGAGTTGGTTTTGTAATTCCGTATATTTGTAGTCCGTAAGTCCAAAAAGATATGTGTAAATACTTAGTTTCTGTCTTGCTTTTAATTTGGAATATCGTCTTAACAGTAAATGTAACAATTTTAGTCTTAGATTTAATGTGATTCATTTTTTCTTCACATGTGGACCCCATGTGATTCTCCAATCGAACGTAAGAGATAAGTGTTGTACTCTGTCTGTTAGTGGAATCGGTATGTTGTCTAAGTATACAGGAGGGCATATTTCTGGTCTTAGAGTAAATGTGATGTGCTGTGACTTTTGATAATTTATTTGAGTTTTCCAAAGTTTACACCAGTCGAGTATACTTTGTAAGTGATGTTGTAAGTTAAGTGATGCCTTTGTAGGATTGTCGTGCCTGGTAATGATAGCAGTGTCGTCTGCGTAGGTTGCTGTAAGAGTGTGGATACTTTGAGGAATGTCGTGTGTGTATGTGATGTACAGTAGTGGGTCAAGGATTGATACCTGAAGTACGCCAGCTAAAACTGATCGAATTGAGGATAGACCTTGACCATGTCGAACGGAGAAAAATCTATCTGAGAGAAAGGAATGGAGAATTAAGTAGTAAGTATGTGGAAGTATGGTCTTAAGCTTGAAAAGAAGCCTCTGATGCCATACTTTGTCGAACAATTGGGCGACATCCAGAAATACTCCGGTTGCATATAGTTTCCGCTCTAGTGCTGTAGAGATGTAGTCAGTCACCCTGTGCAATTGTTGTGTTGTTGAATGTAATTTTCGAAATCCGAATTGATGGTCAGGAATAATCTGTCTGTCTGTTAGTATATGTAATAGTCGTGGGTACAATAGTTTTTCGAATAACTTAGAACATAATGGAAGTAAACTAATCGGTCGATATGAAGGATTGTTAGTGTCATTTTCTGGCTTTTTAATCATCGTTACGTGTGAGTATTTCCACTGTATAGGAAATTTGGTGGTCCTGAGAATGCAATTGGAGATTGTGGTAACAAACACTAGAGCTTTCCTTGGCATTTGCTGGAGCGCCTCAGCAGTTATCAAGTTATGACCAGGGGTTTTTCTTTTGGGGAATTGTCTAATTTCTTATGCAACTTGTGATGGTGTGAAAGGAGGTGGCGGTAGTGTGAGCTGTAACGGTATGTCTAAGTTATTATGTACAAAAATATCGTGTTCTGTATTAATTAAGTCTGTATGTGGTTTGAAAACAGTGGAAAGATGGTTAGCAAAGAGTTCAGATCTTTCCTCGTCCGAAACAGCCCAAGAACCATCCTCTCTCCGTAGGGGTGGGAACACCTCACGATGCTTTAAAAGATTCCTTGTATGTCTCCATAAACTTACATCGTCCGTCGAAAGGTTGTTAATAAAATTGTCGTAGTTTGTGTTTTGAATTTTTGAATATGTCTTTTAAGTTCGTTGTTCAATCTGTTAAAAGTTTGTCTGTCTGAAGGAAGTCTATTAGTCTGCCATACTTTACGTGCTTTTCTCTTTGCTCTGATCAAGTCCCTTATGTACATAGGATAATGGGGCAAGTTCACTGCTTTTTGTGGCCTGGATGTTGATGAGGCCCATGCTTTTATCTTGTATACTTGTGAATTTTTCAACAGCTTCTTGTAATTCCTCATGATTTTTAATTGAACCTGGAACAGAAAGATTGGTGTTCAAATGGTCTCTATATGCGTCCCAGTCCATGCAGCCTTTTATGAGCCTAGGTCTTTTCTGTGCTTCGGAAGGCGCGTCTAAGAGAACCATATGCACTGAGGAGTGATCAGAACAAAGATCGGAGGTTGTATTGACGGCAAATGGTACGGTTAGTTAGTACGGTTCCATTATCTACCGGAGGTATCGGTTGGGTAATGCCTCTCCTCGTACCTGTACATGTTTTCTGGTTCGGAGGTGACCAGAAACTAGATGATGTTCGATTTTGTTGTTGCGGAGGTCCTGTGATGATCTGTGGTTCCCTTTGGTTGTGACGTTGCCGTATTGGGGGGAATTCATGGATGCCGGTCCCTGCGCTGGACGGCGCATTTCGCAGGGGTGTCTCTGGTTTTCAAACATTCAGATTTCACAGTTGAACATTCAAATGAAACATTTTTCAAACTGGTTTCATGATATTCACCGCACTTTAAGCATCGTGGTTGATGGTTGCAATAAGTTTTAGTGTGCCCATATTGCTGGCACCGAACACACTAAGGAATATTTCTCTTTGGACGCGGTTTCTCAATTTTAATATGTGAATAATATAGAAATTCAATACTAAAAATTTCTTCTCTCAATGTCTCTTTTGTAATGTCCACAAAGAACATAGGAAGGGGTTTTTTGAATCGAGATATGACGTTAACTACATTGGTGGCTTCGTAACCCAATTTTTTAAATTCCTCTTTAATGATATCGATTGGTGTTCCATGGTGAAGATATTTAACAACAATCCTTGGGCATTTGTCCTGTGAAAGTTGGTAAGTATGGAAGTCGGCGTCTTTATTTCGCAAGCTAGAATTTAATTTTCGATAAAAGTCAGGGTTTGCTGGGTACACAGTGACACCTTTCAATGTAGACTTCGTTTTAAACATATTAGGACCCGTTTCGTTTTCTAGAAATGAGATTAATGTATGGTAATTCTCAACACCGTTTATAAAAATTGGTGGAGTTTTATCGTTTTGAGGCGTTCTTCTAACTTCTTCTGTTTGTAAATTAGTTATGTTGGTTAGAACCTGAAAACTGTTCGAGGTTGGGATAGATTCTGTCGGTCGTTTTTGAGCTCTTGGCTCGCTCGAATCTATCATAGGTCTTTTACGACCAATAACCAGTTCCCAGGAGCCGTCTTCATTGTTTATATCACTATTTTTAAAGTTCATGTTACTTACCTCAGTTTGAGATGATTCCACCAGGGCGGTGAAATCCGCTCAATCTTTGTTTGGTGTTATGTCCTTAGCAATCTTGTCTTGATAAAACACTTTTGTTACACAAAAATTAAGTATTTACACTTAATTAACACTTTTTTTGGAAGAGAAAACTAAATTAACCTTTCACCTTATTTAAAATCAACAGCTGTTCCCATAGGTAAATTAACCAACCAATTAGTAAGGACCTTAGTTTGAACTTTTGATTTCCTGTCAAGCAGAATGTCAATAGTACGTCGGAATGTCATTCCGAGGTACTATTGAGTTACTTAGTTTCATAAACGATTTTAAATTATTTTCTTTAAAATAGTCAAGTGGGCAATAAATTAAAAACAAAGTGGAAAACTACACAATTTACTTATAGAAATAATTACTTTGTAACTTTTGTGTATGTTCGTCAGTTCTTTTTCCTTTTTCTTAACAAATTTATTATTTTTTGTAAGTAGTTAACATTTTTCTAACTTTCATCAAAACAATTTTCAAACGCTAGGAAGTAATTATTTTATCTCGACTTTTCTCTTGATGTCCAATTCTATACTACCCAAAATAGGTCTTGGACTTGCAAAGTGCAACACCAACCAAGAGCAAGACCACCTAATTGTTGCAAGACCAAACCTGGTAAACAAAAACGATAGAAGTGAAACCACCAACAAAGCGAGTTGAATAATATGGAATATAAATAACAGCTGATAAAATGAATGAAATAATGATGAAATGCTGAACCTTTCCCTCCCTTACAGTATGCACATCCGATTTTTAGATTCTGAGATATTTCAATTATTATAACTTAATAATTAATTAACTCGTTATCATTTGATTTTCGACACTCTTTTTTTCCTTTTCACCTCTCTATCACATGGTGTCGCGTTAATATGCAATTTTGCATAATAGCCCATAACACAGAAATGCTGAACGATTCCCTAGCTTACAATAGGCAGTTCAGATTTTTAGTTTTAGAGTTAATTTAAAGACACTTCAATTATTCGACTCCAGCCGACTTTACCCGAGCGTTACACATCGGAGATCTGACGGCCCAATCTAATTCACTCAAAAGAAGTGCAAAACGCGCGTAAAGAAGAATTTTTTTTCTCTTCCAAGTTTTCATTCAGGGTTTAGTTAGGTCTTATTCTGAAAAAAAAAAAATGCAGTAATATCTCTATAGTATGTAGTGGTAACATTTTTTTTTTTAAATGTTATTACATTTACGACAAAAATATTTTTTTTAAAAATCGTCTAAATCAGACCAGTTTTATCAACTTTACATTGTATTAAATTTTATACCCTGATTTTAATAATTGTTCACTTGCCCGTTTACATTGCTTTAGTTCATCAAAGAAATAGTTCAAGAACTTAAATTATTATAAACTAATCACATCTTATTTCTTTTTCAATGGGTAATATTGTATTAATAATTATAATTATAGAAAATAAGGTTTCGAAGCAAAAAAGCAGCCGTTGGCTACAATGAAAGCTGTTGAGAATTATGAATGTATATTAGAGTAACAAATATTCCTCAGTACAAATTTTCAATATTTTTCACACCATTATGATTTATAACTATAATACTAAAATCCTTCGGTTTCTTCACTGATGCTTAAGTCACCAATTTCCTGGTCTGGTACGATTTCTTCTAAGGGATAGTCATCATTGAAATCCTCACTATTATATTTTCTGTAGTGGGGTCTAGTTTTGTCTTGACCGAACTTTTCATTCGTTTTTTCCGCACGTTTGTGGCAATACCTTTTACATATTTTATTTAACGCATTGGCATAAATGTGTTTAGTTCTCAAATTTATATCTCGTTGAGAGGGATTTGCTCTGTAACTGTCCTGAGCGTAGCTGACTGCGACAATCAAAACGAACCAAGCAACCTGGAGGACCGACATCAGCTAACAACAGAATAAATAATTATTGTTAGTGAGAGTATATTTATAAAAGTCAGATCTAAATAACTATAGTTACTTATTCCACAAACACATCTTTATCCATTCAAACTGTATGACTATAATAAAGATTAATACTTTAAGAGAACTAGTGTTCACCCAGTGGTCGAAATTCGACCATAGTCATTAAAAAATTGAGGAAAACATAATTAAATTAGAAATAAATTCAATAGATAAAGAGTAAATCACGATTCAAAATTCCTCATTTATTAATATAAACAAAATTTCAATTTCAATTATAAATTGAGCTTAAACTACCTAAAATTATTTATAAGTAATACAAAATAGACTTCAATAGACTTCATTAAAAATATTTAATTTCCATTTTAATTTATGTGTGTTATTATCACAATGAATTAATGTTATGATTAAGCAAGTAAAAAAATAAATGTACAGAAATTCTCTGAAAACAATATTCTTTTTTAATTTTCTTTTCTTGTTTGGTACATAGCCTTGACCAATGCCATTTGAAATATAAATTACAAAATTTTAATTTTAACGTGCTCTACTTGCGGCTACATATAATTGTCCATGCGAAATTATTGGACGTCGCAATAACATACAATTTTTTTCAAAAGTTTGACCCTGCGATTTGATTATGGTCATAGCAAATGCAGCTATTTATAAGAACGTTGTTCTTTGAAATTCGAATGGAAGTATTGTATGGAATTGAAACTCTTTTATTTAAAGTAGCTCCCGTCAGTACTTCACTCTCATTCGTGTTTCATTAACTACTGCTTGTGCAATATTTAAGTTAAGAATGGGTATAACTATAAAATTTATTTTTAAATTCCATGTTATCATCTCTTTAAATAATAGTCCGAATTATCTCTGTAAATGAAAGTTTTCGATTTATCAGAAACCAAAATAAAGGAAATCGAATTTGCAAAAGAAAAAGTACTAAATGTTTTAAATGGCATATCTCTGCAACAAATAGTCCGATTTCGATGATTTTATTATTTATTTTTTTTAAGGGAATCCAGGAAGCTTTTAAATAAATATGGGCATTATCAATAAAAAAATGTGTACTTTTTCAGTTATTCGCAAAATAAAATACTGAATTCATCATAAAAATATATGCATCTTGTTTTCGGGAAAACATATTTTAATTTATATACATAAATTATATCGGTTTCAAGGGGAAGACTTTAGACAAGTTTCATTGAAATTGTTGAAGCCGTATTTATATAATGATACGTCTAACAAAATGGCGGCAGAGCATAAGCTTACATGATCGTACTGTAGGTAGAATTTCGAAATCTTCCACACTTATTTTTTCGGCTAATTTAACCATAACGTTTGTTTGACCATAACTTTTGAAAGAATTTGATAAGTTAATAAAGGAGAAAAAATATATAAATGCACAAAAACCTGTAGACTGTAGCTCCTAAACGAATGTACCAATTTCAATGAAACTTCGCTAAATTCATTTTCTCGACACCCTTTAAATTTATCTATATAACATACTTCAACGAAAAGAAGCTGCAAAAAAAGTTAGTAAGGATGGTAAAATTAAATTCCAAATAACTCAAAAAGTCTACACTTTTTTGTCGATATTGTGATAAGATGTTTCAAAGGTATTTAAGTTTCCTAAAAACTGAAAGAAGTTTCATCGAAATCAAAGCACTCTAAGTAGAGATATCGCGATTTAAATTTTTTTTTTTTTTTAATCTAAAGCAGGCTTCTTCCTAGAAACCTATAAGGACACTTTTTGATGTTTTTCGCTTATATAAGGAAAACTGTACATCGCCTAGACAAAGACGTTTTATACAAAATAAATGGTAAAATTTTCAATATGATTGATAATATACTTTCTTCGCTATTTGTTTAGTTTCCGAGACATCCTTCCTCAACTATCGCTAATGTAATTAAATAGAAATTTTACCTACGTTTATTTCAAATATTTTTCAATATTTTTTGGTCAAATTGTTCAAACCATTCACAGGGTCTTACTGAGTAATTACAGTCGTCAAAGTTAAAAATCAGTAATGCCATCTGCTTAAAAAATCGTTATGTATATTTTATTTTTCAAAATTTTGAGTTCAAATTCTTTTAACACACTCACGGAATCTCACCGAATAATTTAAAATCACATATCAAACTTAAAATTCGTTCCTGCCGCTCGCTAAAAAAATCGTTAGATATCTTTTAATGGACACACCAAATTCATAAACTCGTTTCGCTTCGCTTTCAAAACACTCAGGGGATCTCGTCGAATAGATTAAAATATCAAACTTAAAAATCGATCCTCTCGTTCGCTTATAAAATCGTTACATTTCTTTTAGCAAATTGATTAAACACACTTTATTCGATCACGGGTCAGTGTTTTTATCACAAATTGTTTCAAAACACTTGAGAGATCCCACTGAATAATTTAAGATATAAAACTTAAAAATCGAAATAGCCGTTCGTTTAAAACAGCGTTACATAGTTTTTAACACCTAATCCTCCATTCGCTTGATTTAGTCGAATAAAAAAGAAGAAATAAAAGATAACTAAATAAATATGAGAAGATACTTTAACTTGAAGGTGAGTACTGTCGAATATCCCTCCTACTGTTAGCGGAATTATATGAGCAAGTGATTTGATTCCTTTGTTTATTTATAATTTTTATCACCTATTATCGCCTTATTACCTATTCTTTGGAATTAGTTAGCGTGAACTTAATGTTTCGGGGGAAAAGAAGTAGAATGAGGCACTAACGGATCCAGGATTTAATTTTAGGGAGGGGGGACTTCAGCCCGAAGTTTTTTTTTCATATATATAACGATAATAATTTTGAAAAAAAAAAAACAAGAAAGAAACTAACTACCTATATGACATGGTGTTTAAGTGATTCTTGAAGGTGTAATTACACGAAGAATAATACTTCAAGAGATAGTTTTTAATAATTTTTTCTATAAAAATGATCATATTTTACCATTTTTGGGGGGAGGAGGCTTCAATCCGAAAGCCCTCCCCCCCGTAAATCCGCCTGTGGAATGAGGTATATTTAGCACATTTTTAATTCATCAAGATTTGAAATGTGGTCAAAATTTCACTATTTTAATCGAATAATTATATTTTGTCATTTGTATTTTGCAAGGGTGTTTAGGAGAATGTGAAGAGGAGACAAAAAGAACGGAAATTAAAGAAATACTTATTTTAAGGAGTATCTAACTTATATAGGTATATGATTTCTTTATTTATTGGCTTATAAAAAGCGTAGCCATGGAGTCTGGTCCAATCAATGCTACTTATACTTATTTTGTAAATAACAGGTACAATATAAGACATGATACAATACACGAGGACAAAATAAGAAGGGAAAAAGATAAACACATTTATATAAAATAAATTGTTCAGATCAATATAAACTAAGTTTCACTGTAGATTAAATATCAAAATAAAATTAATTAAAACACAAAACAAAATAACAAATTTTATAAGAACCATTGATACATAAACTTAAATATATTTCTCTAAGTCACAATAATACGATGTATTTGTTGCCATTCTAACGGGTAACAAAATATGTCCTATGTCTATATGATATACTAAAACACGAATAATTATTAGATTTAAAGTTAGGATTATTAAGTAAACTATGGGAGTCAAACATACGAACAATAAAGCAAAACACATTGTTCAAGTGTTCAAGACTTTCAATATCTAAAACTCTCTCCAACGATAAGTCATCCGTGCCCGCATTTTGCATGTTTGTCGAGATATCTCTTTCTATGAATTTCAACATAAGGTAATGAATCTTAACTTAAGGTAGCATTATTTTGATGTTATTAGTAGATTGAAAATCAACCCACAATTTTATTATGGAATCGCATCTTCAATGTTCCATTTTAATTCATTAGTTCTAATCAATAAATTTTATTTTACATAATCAAAATACGCAATGATTATTCTGTTCTCATGTTCTATGTTCCTGTGTCCTATACAAAATTGGATTAATTTCATTTCAATACATTTATAGATATTTGATCTGCAGTTTAAAACTGCTTGCAAACAAAATACGCGATTCCATAAAAATCCGGGCCTTTAATATGAGAGTTATCCTTTTAAAAGTATTGTATTAATTTAACTACTCCCTCTATATGTTCACTGCCTACCTGATTTCACATAAATTATATTCCTACCAGTTATTTATATTAATTTTAATTGTAGAATGAAATTTAATAAAATTTATTCCTGTCGATTTGCACATTATTCTCTAAAGTTCCTGGAACCTTGGGTCGAATCTAAGGTGACCAGAAATCCCGCTCTTGGCGATTTTTATAGTCCCGATTTGAAACAATTTGTCCCGCTTTTAAAAATTCCCATATTTTGAAAAGAATGTACGACAAACTAGAGAACGGGAAGGGAATATGCAGTTTTCGACGGCCATGTGGCTATTTCTTCAGGATATGAGTTTTATATTATTTTTGTAACACCGAACTAGTTGGCCCGTGTGAATAATTCGCATAATATATTGTTTAGAGAAGAAACATCAAAATAATATGTAAATAAATAGCTCTTATGTTTTCTCCTTGGTCGAATACAATATTTTATTTGACATAATATACCAAAATATGACTTTTCAAGGTCCTATTTTTAAACGTTGAATATTAGTTTTCATATTATATTCATATCCATATGTTTTATATGCCCAGCTCTCAATGGACCAATTGACTAGGAGGCTTATAGAGAACTTTTAAACTCTTCATTTTTGATCCCAGTGTCTATAAAAAATGAAAAAGAACTGGAGGAGGCTGTGAAAATATTCAGAAAAAATATCCAACACGCAGCTTGGACTTCATCAATACCAAAGATCAACTCTGCTACAACTGTGAACTTGCCGAAATACCCGCAGTATATATAGGACTTAATCTGAGCAAAGAGAAGAGCGCGTAAAATATGGCAGACTGATAGAAGCCCATCAGATAGACAGACATATAACCGTGACGATGGGAGCTTGTGGAAGCATAGGAAAAAGTTGTTAAAGCACTGAGAGCTGTCAGCACCTCTCAAAAAAGAAGATGGATCCTGGACCCTGTCGGATGAGGAAAACTCTGAACTCTTCGCTCACCATCTTCCTTCTGTATTTAAACCGTAAATAATTTTTCCCCTAACCATCCAACACATCAAAATCCTTAGTACTAAGGTACAATGGACTATGGTCACTAGCTCCTCAGCCGCGGTCCTCGCGTAGCCTCCCCCCCCCCCCGCCGCAATCCTATTCCTCTACCTCCTCCTCTTCCTCCTTGCCTCCCTCCCACAATCTCTCCCTCTCTCTTCCTTACTCTCCCACCCTCTCCCTCACTACACCTATATCTCAAACCTAGAGATGGGCGATAGTCGATAGTTTCCCACTATCGATAGTTCGATGCTATCGATGAAAACTATCAATAGTTAAGTAATTTTCCACCACAGACTTAAAGGGGATTTATTTTTGTGGATTTATTTTTTTGGGATTTATTCTTTATTTATTTACTTTAAAATACGGTATAAGCTTAGGAATTTAGGAATTTAAAAAAAATTATTATTCCTGGGCTCCGGAGGTAAACAACTATGTCCATTATTACATTAAATATTTTAGTAACGAAGAAACAAATTTTAATAGCTCAAAGTTATGGAAAATTGGCTCCTTTGAACAAATAAAAATATGAACATAATGTTGACTAAATATATGTAGTATTGTTTTAAATATTTGGTAAAAAGAAATAAGCCAGAAATGAATCTTTCAATTTTCAAGATTGTGATTTTCTAAATTCAATTTGATAATATTATTTTTAAAAAATAAAACTGTAATGACATGATTGTAGATTTTGTAAACCTAAAATATCTTGTAAACATTTTTTTTTTTTATGGGAAAGAAACACTCCAAAAAGGGTGTAATGTGGTCTAAGGAGAGAAAACGTAAAGCAGGCGGAGGTCATGAGTGGCATATGGGAGAAGAGGAGGCAGATGAAGAGGAAGCATTAAATTCGTGATATTCGCGTGGTCTTTAAGGCCTATTCGTGAAAAAATAAATAAAAAGGAGTGATAAAGATAATTTTTTTTTCAATTGGCACAACAGCAGTTTTAAAAATTTTTCTAAGAAAATAATTTGAAATTATATTCTTTTATCTCAAAGGCTTGTTCTTGTTCATTTTTTTTCAGCTTTTTATTTTGATTAGAATAGATTTAAACACGCCTTCATACTTCAATCCGTTTACTTTCTTAATGCAACAATTTATAACAGTTTTCCATTATTGAAAAATCCACTATTACATTTTTTTTATTTTTTATTTTTCAACATTTTATTGTGCAATATTACAATCTGTCTCAGTTAAGGACACTTATAATAGAGTTCAGACAGGACATTCATACCGTATATAAATAAATATAAATAAATAAAGTAATAACAAACGAATAAGAACTAAAAGAACAAAAGAGAAAAAAAATATATACATACACATAAGTAAGTAAAAATAGAAATAAAAGTAAAACAAACATCTTAGATACAAGCATACATATATGTAATATACGTTATTATATAATCACTTTACCTGGTGCAGCAATAAATAGTTAGAAATATAAAGATGTTAGATTAAAATTCTTTCTTTAAGTATATAAAATTTGTCTTAGAGGAAGATACGAGGAAGAACTAGTCGCAAAATGTGTTTACTAATAACGGTCGAAATCATTCATAAAACTGGAATTCCGATGCTTAATTAAGCCGACAATTGTGTCATGGTCTATCAGCAACAATTTGTAAATAAAGAATTGGCGAAAGTTTGATGTTTATGAGGACCATAATGAAAAATTATTGGCCATCAGTATACCATTTATAGGCTATTGTCTTTGAAATATTAGGCTTGGCACGGATCGGCTATTGAACACAACAACTGTGATGTTTATTGAATAAACAAGTAGATTAAAATATGCATGTTTAACATCAACATCGAACCTGATGCTTTTATTTCTTGTCTTTTTTTTAGGTCGGTCTATTGAAATAACATTATTCCGGTTACCCTCGATGATGTTCAGATAATTCGCCCATTTTGTTTTTTTTTAAATCGTCATATTTTATTTGAGAATATTTTCTACATAGAAGGCGATAATAGGTTTTATTTGATATCCAAAAGGACGGCCATCTTATAAATTACCAATAGCCAAAGAGGAAAGGTGGAGATAAAGTAAGCAAGCAAATAAAGATTGACTCGACTGGTTTCAAATCTAATCCGCTTCAGACTCGAGGATGCTGTACTCAAGCACCTCAAAATATTTATTTAGAACCTGAGAAAACTGGTCTCTAGATTTCACATCACGCTATATATTTAAAAGGTAATTGTGTTTTTTTTTTTAAATAGTAATACAGTCGTTATTATGATACGTAATAACTGACTTTTAAAAATTTATAGAAAAAAAAAAAACTTCAAAAGACAGTTTAACAACTTTTTTATTGTTTTTATCAGTCTATTTTTTAATGTATGACAATTAAATTTGAATTAGACATTACTAATTTTTTTAAAAATGAGTACAAGTACACTCAAAGTAAACAATATTTTTAGCCCTTGCATAGTGTAGCCCAAAATAGGTCTTGGTCTTGCACTTATCAAGATCAAGACCAAGAACGCCAAACTGTTGTAAAACCAATACCAAGACTAGTCGAAAAAAAAATGTTTTGTGAATAAAAATTAAGTCAAAATAGTT